TGCTTTACATTTATATTTGCTATGAAATAATTTGTTTTTATTATATTTTTAGAGCACTGGAGAGAGAAAGAGAAAGGGAGTTTTTTGCAGACTAATAAAATTTACAAAACAGCTTGAAGGGTAAAGCATGATCCCAAGTATTTCTAACATCTGGAATTTTAATTTATTTCATTTTTATCCCAAGATGCTTTATAAACACTCGAACATTTCAGCATAATGACAGTGTGCTATAGTACTGCATTACTCACCATCAAGGTTTTTCTAGTTTAACTGAAGGTAAAAATAAGCCATATCGTTATTTGTAATGAATAGGCTGGTGATGTCCTTTAATTTTCAAGAGTAACACTGTGACCCTGCTGTGTGCTTTTAAATAGAGGTTTGTTTGGTTTTTTTTAATAACAATAATGAGCACAGTGGCTCAAGCCTGTAATCCCAGCACTTTGGGAGGACAAGATGAGAGGGTTTCTTGAGTCTAGGAGTTTGATACCATCCTGGACAACATAACAAGACCTCATCTCTACAAAAATTAGCCAGGGGTAGTGGCACGCCCCTGTAGTCCCAGCTACTTGGGAGACTGAGACAAGAGGAGGTCACCTGAGCCCAGGAGGCCAAGGCTACAGTGAGCCCTGCACTCTAGCCTGGGTGACAGAATGAGACTCTGACTCAGTAATAATAATAATAATAATAGTCAGCAATCTGTCAAAATGAAAGATACCCATATGAATCAGAAGATGTTCCCGGCAATACCAGCCAGAAACTGAGCCATGTGGCTTAAAGAAAGGGATATTTTAAAAACAAATATTATAAAAGTGGTAGTTCCTGTTTCATCTAGCCCCTTTTAGAAATATACAAGAAATGTGAGATGAACAGCTGTTCTTGCAACCCTGTGATTGTATTTCCATATAGGGGCATCAGACCCAAGCTCCTTAAGTTAGACCTGGGATGGGAGCCGGGCAGATGCATCACCCTTGAGCTTGGCAGAGGCCATAGGACTCTTTCCAGCAGTGTGTTCTGCCACACAGTCCATGGCTCTCATTCCTTCATATTAGCAGGTGCTGAGCATCTCATGTTCATTTCAAGCCCAGCATGGAGTCTTCCTTCTCCTGGCTCGGAATGGTTTTACTATGGAGTCTGACTCAATGTCTTTCCAGGTTTTCAAAATATACCCCCCAATACAATTATTGTCTGTTTCTCTTGACACTCAAAAACATGTGTTTATTTCTGCAAATAACAAAAATAGAGTTGGTGTTCTTGAGCATATTTCCTCTCCTCCAATATCACCTCTGTGTTTTCAGAAGGAAAATGAACTGTTTTTGGCTGAAGTACCTCCTTGACTAGTGCCAACACGCTCCTTTCCCTGTTTTCCCCTTCCTGCATCAGCTGCCGCTGCCTGCTGTCTTCTCCAAGTAGAATTGGCTTTATACTTGGCAGGATAGACAAAAGGTTAAATGAAGGAGGGCGGAAGACAGCTTTCGTCCCCACCTGGACCGGAAGGGTGGCACATCCGTGTTCATCTGCTCGGTTCAGTTGCTTCTAGCCCCCTCTCTCTTCATTTTCAGTGTTTCTTCCCCCCTGCCTGTTTGCCCTTGAAGCCACGGGTGGACTTCCAATTTTTTTTTTCTTTTTTAAAGTCAGAGTCTCATTCTTGTTACCCGGAAGCTGGAGTGCTGTGGAATGGTCACGGCTCACTGCAACCTCGACCTCCTGGGCTCAGGTGATCCTTCTGCCTCAACCTCCCAAGGAGTTGGGACTATAGACACATGTCAACACACCTGGCTAACTTTTTTTTTTTTTTTGAGCCAAACTTCCAACTTTACACAAGCAAGGATCTAGCACAGCCTGGATTTTCTTTACAAAGTTGCTTCTTTGGTTTAGGTCCCGTCTCAGTTATAAGACTTCAGCTTTTTGTTATGTTCCTTTAATTGATCCTCACTTTGCTAAATTTCATGCTTTTGCTTATCAAATATTTTTGATAAATTAAGTATTTATTCTTTTATTTTTTGGGGGTGTTTAAATCTCATTCTGTCACCCAGGCTGGAGTGCAGTGGCACACTCATGGCCACCGCAACCTCGACCTGCTGTGGTCAGGTGATCCTTCCGCCTCAGCCTTCCAAGTAGCTGGAACTACAGGTGGGCACCACCACGCCCAGCTAGTTTTTTGCTATATTGTAGAGACGAGGTCTCACCAAGTTGCCTAGGCTAGTCTCGAACCCCTGGACTCAGGCAATCTTCTCACCTTGGCCTCCCAAAGTACTGGGATTACAGGTTTGAGTCACTGTGTGCCCGGCAAATTTTTATTTTTATTTTTTAATTTTTTTGAGTTGGAGTCTCACTCTGTTGCCCAGACTGAAGTACAGTGGCCGCTCCCGCCAATCGTAGCCTCGACCTGCTGGGCTCCGGCGATCCTTCTGCCTCAGCCTTCCAAGTAGCCAGAATTACAGGCATGCGCTATCATGCCCAGCTGATTTTTTGATTTATTGTAGAGATGAGGTCTCGCTGCCCAGGCGGGTCTTGAACCCGCGGGCACAGGCAGTCCACTCACTTCAACCTCCCGAAGGCGTGGGATTACAGGCTGAGCCACCGAGCCCAGCTCAAATTTTTATTCTTAAGAGATCCTGGCTTGCTCCTATTACCTTTTAAAAGGCATTTATGAACTGCACATTTTAGAATTGTTTTTCTGGCCCTTCAGGTTTGCTGTACCTATTATTTAGCTGTTACTCAGAAGTCAGGGAAAATGACCAAAAAGTAAATACTACGTTGGCCCATACCTCCTTCAGCCAACTGTTCCTGCCCTCCACCAGGTACCAACATGCCATTTTTAAAGGGTGTTCCCTCATACCATATCCATTCATAGTATAGAGATTCTGTGTGGGTCAAGTGTAAGTGATCCTTTCTTCTGTTACATTTGGAATATAATAGAACAGTATCTTGACCTCAGATTTTTCTTTCATGTGAGTAAGAGTAGATGAGATACAGAGGCAGTGAGTAAACTTGGTAAGGGACCATGATGTCAATAAAATGACAACCAGGTGTTCTAAGATGACTCCAACCAGCAATTCTGTTGTTTATTTATTTTATTTATTTATTTATTTTTGAGTTGGAGTCTCACTCTGTCACCCAGACTGGAGTGCAGTGGCCGCTTCCGGCCACCACAGCCTTGACCTGCTGGGCTCCGGCGATCCTTCCGCCTCAGCCTTCCGAGCAGCTGGAACTACAGACGCATGCTACCACGCCCGGCTAATTTTTTTGATTTATTGTAGAGATGAGGTCTCTCCTGCCCAGGTGGGTCTCGAACCCGCGGGCTTAGGCAATCCACTCACCTCAGCCTCCCAAAGGCGCAGGATTACAGGCTGAGCCACTGAGCCCTGCTTGTTTATTTATTTATTAGAACTTTATTTTATTATAGAGATGTGGGGTACAAGTCAGGATTAGGAACATAAGTAACCTGCATGCAGGTTACGTTTGAGCTTCCAACAGGTCCTCACTTCCCCTGAATTAGGACCAGTTACCCTTTTGTGTTGTTGCATGCCCCCCTCTCTCTGTACCTCCCCTGGCAGTGTCCCCCGGCTGCCAATCTCTCTCTTGTGTTATTGTGATTAATGTTTAGGTCCACTTATGAGTGAAAACATGCAATATTCGGTGTTTTGTTGACTTTATTCTGAGTTTAATCTATCACCAATTTCACTTCCTAAACCCAACAAATCTGTTTCAGAAGAATCGAACTCCTCCCAAGCAGTGTATCTGACTATTAGCCACCATCAGTGTATCTTTGTCTGCTCATTCCTAAGGCACTGCACTGGTGTCTAAAACCAAATATCAAATTGCTGTTTTGATTATAAATGAAATTGTAAAACTGAGGCATGGTTTTGTCTAACTACAAAAATTTAAACTTCCTTCCTGGTCATTTTTTAGCAGAGTTCATGCTTTCTTCATCCATTTATTTTTATGTAGTTCTATTGAAATAGGTTATAAAAACTTCTTCTCTTGAAACTGAAACAGACATCTGTTAACCTGTAAATGCTTTTGCTTTTTCTCTCTGCTTTGTTTCTTCTTTAAAAAGAGTCGAGTATGGGTAAGAATATTTCTTTGGATTAGTTGACTTCCTTTTGCCTTTCTTATGTATTTAACCTAGAAAGCACCGTGTCAGGATATCTTTTATAATTTCAAGAAGAATACCCAGCCTGTGAGACACTGAGTCTTGGAAAATAATGCATAAGTAAATCTAGTACATGAACATCAGCCTGCTATATTTTATAACATCTGGGCCAGGCGCAGTGACTCACACTTGTAATCCCAGCACTTTGAGAGGCCGAGATGAGAGGATTGCCTGATCCCAGGGGTTCCAGACCAGCCTGGCAACTTGGCGAGACCTTATCTCTATGATTCAAAAAAGTAGCTGGGCGTGGTGGTGCCCACCTGTAGTTCCAGCTACTTGGAAAACTGAGAAGGAAGGCTCGCCTAAGCCCAACAGATCAAGGCTGCAGTAGCCATGAGCGTGCCACTCTAGCCTGGGCAACAGAGTGAGTCTCCAACTCAAAAAAAAAAAAACCCCTGTGTCCTTGTCTGTTAAATTCACTGAAAGTTAAGCACCCAAGTTTCTTCTAAGAGCTGCTGAGTGAGAAGGTGGGATATTGCTAAAACACTAAAATAAGGCCCCTTTCCTCTTGTATCTTCTGGATTAGAATATTCATTTTTATTATTATGTCTTTGTGGAGTCTTAAGTATATCTTAGCCATATTAATAGGCAGCTACAAATTAATAAGAGAAGATTGGCATTTGCCTAAATAAGTGACTTTGCAAAGACTATGGATTTGGAAAAGAAGTTTGGTAGCATATGGAAGAGGTCATTGCAGAGGGGCGCATTCACTTTTTTCCCCAAAGTAAATTAAAAAACAAGGCATTTTCAGGTTATCCATGGAAGCCTGAATTATTCTCTTACTGAAACTGAGAAATCTAGTTCTCTAATGCTTACATTTCTGTGATTTTATCATTTATTTTAGGCACCAAAGGAAGAAATAAAGGAGAGTTTACAAATCTTCAGGGAGTGGCTGCATCAACCAGTGGAAAGATACTGATTGCAGACAGTAACAACCAGTGTGTGCAGGTATGGTCCCTAACTGTATACCTTTACCTACTTAAATGATAACACAGATGTAGTTACGTATTTCCCTACTTCAGGCATAAGATAGATCATGCACGAAGAAAAGCTTATAATGTATATATTTCTTTGAATAGTTGCACATCCTAACCTATAGTACATGTGACAGATGTTTTTGTGTGTTTCTTCCTCTGCAGTTTCTGTGCTGGCTCACATTCTAATGAATGTCATTTGTTTTACAGATATTTTCCAATGACGGCCAGTTCAAAAGTCGTTTTGGCATACGAGGACGCTCTCCAGGGCAGCTCCAGCGACCCACAGGAGTTGCGGTCCATCCCAGCGGGGACATCATCATTGCAGATTATGATAATAAATGGGTTAGCATCTTCTCATCAGATGGGAAATTTAAGGTAAGATTAACTACTAGTTGGCCACTACACAAAAAGAGAAGGAACAGAAAATACAAGATGAAATTGTCTTTCTTTTTTGAGATGGTTCTGCACAGCCATTCTGTTGTTGATTTTGAGTTTAATCCATCACCAATTTTACTTCCTAAGCCCAAAATTTGTTGCAAAAGTGTCAAACTATTCCTAAGCAGTGCTTAAGCATGTGTTTGACATTAGCCACCATTAGAGTGTCCCTGAGTGTCCCTGTCTGCTCTTTCCTAAAGCTGCATTGATGTCTAAAAAAAGTCAAACTACTCTTTTGAATATATAACATTTGACAATTCTCTATACACAAAGACATCTTGATATCTAGGTTTATGAAGTAAGAGTAACAATGCTAATTTCATAAATCTCACATATGTATCCTAAACATGGCTTTGTCATATAAAGCAAGTAGGTAGCTTAGTTGCTTAAAAGAAAAGCAAACAAACATAGGTTTAGAGAGAAACTGGTCCTGTTTCCTCAATTCAATAAAAAAACAGCCTTTTATTAAGAGGCAGTTTATATTTCTCAAATTAATGTACAGATTATCACTTATGAGTTGCCTTCTGGTTTCTTAGGCCTGTGATGGATGATATGGGAGAAACCGTTGTAAAAAATGGTTCCTACCTTTTAAAAATGTGTAAGCCTGGTCAAGCACAGTGGCTGATGCCTATAATCCCAGCACTTTGGGAGGCCAAGGTGAGAGGATTACTTGAGGCCAGGAGTTTGAGTCCAGCCTGGGCAACACAGTGAGACCCCATCTTGACAAAAAATTTTTTTTAAAAATTAGCCAGGTGTGGTGGTGCACGTCTGTAGCCCCAGCTACTTGAGAGACTGAGGAAGGAAGATTATTTGAGCCCAAGAGTTCAAGGCTGTTGAGCCATGATTGTGCCACTGAATTGCAGCTTGGGTGAAAAAGTGAGACCCTGACTCAAAAAACTATAAAAACAAATAAATAAATAAATAAATAAAATATACATGCCTATGTACAAAAAAAGACTAATTTACTAGAAATGACAGACTAGAAATGTCAGCCTCTAATCAGTCAGAAATTGTTTAGTAAAATCTGAGAACATAGTGTTCAAGTATGTAACATGGGATGTGGAAGAAAAAGAAAATGAAGCCTGAATTTACAGAGAAAATGCCAGTTGAGCAACGCTTGGAGGGAGCCCATCATTTGACATGTCTGCACTCATGCCCAACATTATCTTTATGAAAGCCTAACAATGGCACAATCCCTTCACGGTCACCATTGATGACAGAAATCTCTCTTGTAAGGTGTCATCAAAGAACTGTATACCCTCCAGCCCATTTTCAATACTTGTTCACAAGATGATTTATGACTTCTTGTTAAAGATCTTTCTAAAGGCCATGTGTGTGATGCCTTGTATATGTCCCTGTCTGGCTTACTCAAAGTTTCTATTTCCTTTGACAACATGAACTTGAACTTAGATCAACCCATTGGAATCCCAGGCTCTGTGGCTTATTTGCTGTTTGGCCATCGGCAAATTCTAACTTCCCTGAACCTCAATCATCTCATATTTTTAAAAAAATCTCTCATAGTACTTGAATAAAAACTAAATGAAATTTTATCTCTGGATGTATGTGTGCCTCATACAAAACAGGCATCCAAAAAATGTTCTATTCCATCCAAGAAATGTTTTTTTCCATGCCTCCAGGAGCCCTGTCAAAAAAAGGAAGTGTGTTTGGTCAACTGTGATTTGAAATTCATGACCTTCCACCGGCACCTGGTGGTCATCACTTCCCTTGTCTTGGATGCTGCTTTTCACAGTCTGTTCTGGAATCCTGAAGATTACATGAAATTCACTCATTAGTCTCTTTATGCAAGAATTTCTATCTTCCTTTCTAAAGTCTTTGGATTGCTATAGCCACCTCATTGTTTTTATAACGTGAGTTACTTCTGTAATTGTTAATCCTCAGATCTGAGCCTCTGTTTTGTATGGGGCAGCATCTTTTTCACCTTAGAGAATAAAAAGCTGTCATTTTTAATTCCACAGTATTGAATGCAATTCTCCATTACCCTCAGGGTTTTTGTTCTGTTAGAAATGGAATGGCCCCACATATTGGCCACGTATGCAGAAAGTTCTGTTGCCTTTCTGTATCTCTCACTTCCTCTCCTTGTTTTGTGTTTTCCTAATTGTATTTGTGGTAAGACATACCCAAATATGAAAAGCTTAATATGAATAAAATAATCATTTCTTGAAAATATTCATAGCCGGGCACGGTGGCTCACACCTGTAATCCCAGCACTTTGAGAGGCAGAGGCGAGAAGATTGTCTGAGCCCAGGGATTTGAGACCAGCTTGGGCAACTTGGCAAGACCTCGTCTCTACAATAAATCAAAAAAAATTAGCTGGGTGTGGTGGCACAAATCTGTAGTTCCCCAGCTACTTGGAAGGCTGAAGTGGAAGGATCACCTGAGCCCAGCAGATTGAGGCTGTGGTGGCCACTGCACTCCAGACTGGGTAACAGAGTGAGACTCCAACTCAAAAAAATAAAAAAGAAAGTATTCATGTAGTTTAGAGGCAACCCGCTGGTTCTTGTTTTATACTCTAGCAAAATAACGATATGTCTTTGTAAATTCAGGACCACATACTAACACAGGTCTCATGTACTGAGACAGGAGTTTTATGTCTAAGAACACAGGGCTGTCTAAATTAAGCATTTTTCACTTAGTGATTCATAGTCTTCCCGTAACAGACACTCAAAGGACTGGATTCTTGGAGTTGGAATACTAGTGATAATAGTTGGAATAAACGCTAAAGGACACTGCCGCCCCCTAGAGGATTGGGGGAGTGGATGTAGTTTCAGCAATACCCTTTTTTATAATGGTGTTGAATGAAACCCAGAGGGTAAAAGCATAGCACATGTAAACACTTTATTTGCCTTTGCTTTGTTGGTGAACATTTTAAAAAAGGAAACACTTTAAAGCTGTAACAGGAGTTCAGGACCACAGTGGGATGTCTACAACTGTATACCAAGAGACATTATTTTCTTCTTTTTCTCCTTTGGTGGGACTCAGTCAATTAATCCAGTGCCAAGAAAGACATACCTTTAACACCAATGCAGACTCTTTGTGTTTATTCCTGATAGCTCTAGAGATGTTGTGTCTTACCTCCTTCTCTCTTTTATTCACCAGTTTCTTAGCCCTGATTTTTATTTCTTTCTGCTGCCTCTATTTTTTTTCCTTTCTACCTTTCCTTCTGACTTGTTTCTTCCAGCCCATCTAGGAATCTTTTGTGATCTCTGGTCATCATATTCTAAAATATCTCATCTCTTTCCTGTTAAGTGTCAGAACCTGTTTGCTGAGTTAAATACTCTAATTTAACCATTCCAAAGCCAGGGTTTGTTACTAGTCTGTTTAAGATTGGGGCCACACAGTCAAGCAAATGCAACAATTCTCATTTTTCACTTACTTGAATCCAGTGCAGCTAAACTAGCAGTGATGAGGGAAGTAGAAGGAAAAGAAATTTTGGTTCAACATTTAAGATGTTCTTTGAGATCTGCCTGAGTTGACACTACATGATAGAATGGGGTAATCCTTAATTTTCTGGTTTTAGTCTAGGTAATTATCCATTTGCTATTACATAGTTGCGTCACTCCCAGTAACTGTGAGTATGCATAATGTTTGGTAGTAATAATATTCTTGTTTGAATAATCAGAGTGCCACCTCTTCCTTTTGATCTCTGCTGACATACCTTCCATTCAGACATGAAAGAACAAATACCCTTTCTTTCCACACCAATCTGTTGTAGCCTCTTTGATCTTTGGGCTAGATTGCAGAATCAGAATGAAATTCATACAACAGATTTTCATGCCAAGAAGACCATTGTTTCTTTCCTAATTGTGTTCTTTGCCTTAAAGAGATCAAATTGGAATCTCAGTCATTTATAAACTTAGAAGAGTAAAGGATCATACAAAGTTGAAATCTCCACCATGGAAAAGTCCTGTCCCACAGAAAATTTGAACATAGCATATTTGATTCACTTTGTATTTCTATCAGGCAGCACTAATATAGAGAGAAAGTAAGAGGGCTAAGGCAGAACTGTGAGAATGTAACTTTTGGAGGTTTTCATTTGTTTTCTTTATTTCAGTAGCTTTGGAAGTACAAATAGTTTTTGGTCACGTGGTTGCATTGTATGGTGGCAGCAGAGTCTGGGTTTTAAGTGTACCCACATTCCCCACCTGTGTACATTGTACCTCATAGGTAATTCGGTTTAATTTTTAATTTAAAAAAGAATACATGTAAATTTGTAGGCTTATTTTTTAAATAAACCTACAAATGAGTATAAAATAAAAAGTAAGTTTTTTCCTGCCACCACCACACCACTGCTAAGAAGTAGATGCTGTTTGGTTTCCTACTTTTCCTTCCAGAAGCCTATGTACATAGAGGCACCCAGTTAACACATGGACTCAGGCTGTACTCACCGTTCTCTACCTTGCTTTGTTCAATAATGTATCTTAGAGATTTTTGAAATAAGCCTACAAATGAGTATAAAACGAGGCCAGGCACGGTGTCTCAAGCTTGTAATCCCAGCACTTTAGGAGACCGAGGCAAGAGGATTGTCTGAGCCCAGGAGTTCAAGACCATCCTGGGCAACTTAGTGAGACCTCATCTCTACAATAAATTAAAAAATAAGCCGGGCATGGTGGCGCATGCCTGTGGTTCCAGCTACCTGGAAGGCTGAGGCAGAAGGATCACCTCAGTCCAGTAGGTCGAGACTACAGTGGCCGTGAGTGTGCCATTGCACTCCAGCCTGGGTGACAGAGTGAGGCTCCATCTCAAAAAAAAAAAAAAGGAGTAAAGAGTATAAAATGAAAAGTAAGGGTTTCTTCTGCCTCCTCTACACCGCTGCTAAGAAGTAGATGCTGTTTGGCTTCCCACTTCTCCTTCCAGAAGCCTATGTACATAGATGCACCCAGTTAACACACGTGAACTCAGGCTGTACTCACCATTCTCTACCTTGCTTTGTTCAATAATGTATCTTAGAGAACTTTCATAAACACACACACACACACACACAAGGGGGAACCCAAAAAGCCTAGAATTATCCTGTGTACCCTTGTAGTACAGGTTTCCCCCACTAGGTAAGTGTTGTAGGAACCTATCAGCTATCAGTATCAATGTACTAGCTAGCATTGTTGTGAGAGGATGCACTGGGCTTCAGTGAAATTATTTTGCGGATTCTTTCAATGCGTCTGCCCATTCATGATGGGGGATTTATGAGCGCACCTGCCCATACCTCACTGAGTATTCAGCAGTTTTTGACCAATAATGCATGACCCCAGTGTCCTAACTTCCCTGTTCAACTGATCTCACCCTGAGTGACTTTTTTGTTTGTTTTGCTGGACGAAAAAAAGTCCTCAAAGGGAAACATTTTCTTGATGTGGAAGAGATGAAACAAAAAATGGCAGAAACACTAAAAGGCATCAAAATCAATGAGTTCAAAAACTGTTGTGAGCAGTGGAAAAAGCGTCTCTGTAGGTGTATTGGATCAAATGGATAGTACTCTGAAAGTGGCTAAAGTAGCCAGGTACAGTGGCTCATTGCCTGTGATCCCAATACTTTGAGGGGTGGAGGCAAGAGAATTGCCTGAGCCCAAGGGTTTGAGACCAGTCTGGGCAACTTGGTGAGACCTCGTCTCTACAATAAATCAAAAAATTAGCCAGGCATGGTGGCGTGCACCTTTAGTTCCAGCTACTTGGAAGACTGAGACAGAAGGATTGCCTGAACCCAGTAGGATGAGGCTGCAGTGGCCATGAGGGTGCCACTGTACTCCAACCTGGGTTGTAAGAGTGAGACTCTGACTAAAACAAAAAAAAAAAAAAAGTGCAGTTTACACATGTAAGAATAAATACTCAGTTGTTTATGAATAAGTTCTGGGTTTTGGGGGGCTTCCCCCTTGCATCTGCTTCCCTCTGATACTTTGAGCCTAAGTGGCAGGGAGAACTGGAATTCTTACCATTTTTCTGACATAAAATATTCTTTTCCCCATTCTTCTCCTTGGGCGCTCCTTCTTCTTTGTCTACAGTGGCTCATCAAGTTTTCTATGTCTTCTCAGATGACCTGTTTGAATTATCTCAAGTCTGCTAGACTGAACACTTAATACCAGACATTTTAAAAGGGTGTAGGAGACATATTTGTCCCTGCAACGTGACTGAGACATCCTTGAAGGCCAGAGCTGTGTGTTATTAATCCCTGGAACATAGTGTCAGGCACATGGTGGGTGCTTAGACAGTGTTAGTAGAATTAGTGAATACATGGCTGAGTAAGTAAAATACTTCTTTGTGAGTATTATTTAAAATGAAGCTACAGGCCAGGCATAGTGGCTTAGTCTGTAATCCCAGCACTTTGGGAGGCTGAGGTGAGAGGATTGCCTGAGCCCAGGGTTCGAGACCAGGCTGGGCAACTTGGTGAGACCTCATCTCTACAATAAATCACAAAAACTAGCCAGGCGTTGTGGTGTATATCTGTAGTTCTAGCACTTTGGAAGGGTGAGGAGGAAGGATTACCTGAGCCCAGTAGGTTGACGTGCTTAGGTGGCCATGAGCGTCCCACTGCACTCCAGCCTGGGCAACAGGGTGAGACTCTGACTCAAAAAAAAAAAAAAAATGAAGCTACAGAAATAAAATAAAGGTATAAGGTCTACCTCTCATGGCATGTAGGCATGTATATACATGCTATACTCTATTTAAGAACATGAATAAAATTTTAAATGCTTATGGTATATGGTTGATAGAAATTGAATGCTGTTCTCTTATTTTATTTATTTATCTATTTATTTATTTTGAGTCAGAGTCCCACTCTGTGGCCCAGACTGGAGTGCAGTAGCATGCTCATGGCCACCACAGCCTTAACCTGCTGGACTCAGACAATCCTTCTGCCTTAGCCTTCCAAGTAACTGGAACTACAGGCGTGCACTACCACACCCAGCTTATTTTTTGATTTATTGTAGAGATGAGGTTTTACCAAGTTGCCCAGGCTGGTCTCGAACCCCTGAGCTCAGGCAATCCTCTTGCCTCAGCCTCCCAAAGTGCTGAGATTACATGATTGAGCTACCACACCCGGCCCATTTTATTTTATTTTTTGATTTGGGCTCGTACTCTGTTACCCAAGCTGGAGTGCAACGGCATGATCACAGCTCACCACAGCCTCAAACTCCTGGGCCCAAGTGATCTTCCTGCCTCAGCCCCGGAGTAGCTAGGACTACAGGTGTGCACCATCACACCCATTTTTTTTTTAGTAGAGATGAGGTCTCGCTGTATTGCCCAGGCTGGTCTTGAACCTGAGCACAAGTAATCCTCCCACAGTGTTGAGATTACAAGCATGAGCCACTCTGTACCCAACTATTCTCCCATTTTAAAAGACTGTGAAATGTGGAACCATTTAATCATCATGATTGCCCTATAATAGTGCTAGATGTATAAAATTAATATATTAGCCAGGTGCAATGGCTCACACCTGTAGTCCAGCACTTTGGGTGGCCAGGGTGGAAGGATCACTTGAACCCAGAAGTTCAAGACCAGCCTGGGCAACATAGTGAAACCTTGTCTCTACAAAAAGTGAAAAACATTAGCCAGGCTTGGTGGGGCAGGCCTGTAGTCCCAGCTACTCAGGAGGCTGCAGTGATCCATGATTGTACCACTGCACTTCAGCCTGGGTGACAGAGTGAGACCCTGACTCAAAAATAATGTAAAATAATAAATAATAATTAATATAGTCAACAAATATTTGTTGAATACCTATTATACACCTGTGTTGGTTCAGTACAGCGGTGGATAGAACAGAATGATAACCACTCAAGTAGAACTTAGTGCCAGTAAAGTTCAATGGCAGATGCCTGGCAATTTTGCTATTAATCACAGTCCACAGTGACAATGACTGTTTGCTATATGCTATACTCTACGCTAAACCCTGGTCCACAGTATTCTATTTATTACATGTTCCAAAAATACTATTGGAAGTTATTGAGGTCAGGGTTGGTTTTTTGTTTGTTTGTTTTTGGTTTTGATATTTTTTAATATATAAGGAATCTGAAAATTTTAAGGAAATTCAATCTATTATGCTGTCTCAGGTGTGTTTACAGCAAGTGACAGAAGCAGGATAGTCTTCTGACTCCTAGCCCAGTGATATTTCACTAGACTACACTGCCTTCCCCCCCCCCCCCCCGCAAGTCAGGGTCTCACTCTGTCATCCAGGCAAGATCAGTGGCAAGATTATGGCTCACCATCGCCTCAGCTTCCGGGTTCAGGCGATCCTTCTGCCTCAGCCTCCTGAGTTGCTGGAACTACAGGCACACACCACCATGCCTGGCTAATTTTTTTGGTTTTTTGTAGAGTTGAGGTCTTACTGTGTTGCCTAGGCTGATCTCAAACTCCTGGGGTCAAGTGATTCTCCTGTGCTGGCCTCCCAAAATGCTAGGATTACAGGCACGAGCAACTGTATGTGGCCCCACACTCCTCTTTAAAAAGGAGCTGTGATCCAAGTTTAGGGAACTCAAGAACAAGTCGAGTGGTGATCCTTATTTTAAAAAGGATTTCATACAAATATCAGTATCAGATAATGAATGTGGCAAAGCAGAAGACCATTGTGATGCATGAGTAGCTGTGACCCCTGCTTGAGCATTCAGGTAAAGTGTTCTGTAGTGTTTTAAACTTGGATGTCTGTACTGGATTTCTGCATTTGTTTCCAACAGACAAAAATTGGATCAGGAAAGCTGATGGGGCCCAAAGGAGTTTCTGTGGACCGCAACGGACACATTATTGTGGTGGACAACAAGGCGTGCTGTGTGTTTATCTTCCAGCCAAATGGGAAAATAGTCACCAGGTTTGGTAGCCGAGGAAATGGCGACAGGCAGTTTGCAGGTACACTCGATGGTAATATGTAAACCCCCTTTTTTATGCTTCTTCTGCTCACACTTGCATGATGTTGAAGACACCGCCTCCCCAGTGTGTTTGCTGGCTTTGGGGAAGATGCTGGGGAGGAAATCTAAGCAAAAGCATGGTTGGTTGCTTCTAATTACCTACCTCCCAGTCCCCAGCAGTAAGTTGAATTGCGGTCCATGTGTGATTTTTATTGGTGGCAGTTCACAACTCAGAAGTCTAATCTTTAAGCATTCATATTAAATAGAATGCAAGTTTTAAAATGAAAATATGCAAAGAACAATGAAGTAACTTCTGTCTCTGCCTAGCTGCAGCTTTATTTAAAGAGCCTTTGGAAAAAAATAAAAATAAAAAGCCTCTGAGTGACCATTTTTTCACCTTTCTAGTTTATTATAAGAGAATGGGAATTCAGTATTTGCTCAGTAGAGGGAGGACGGTCTGGTTTCCTTCTCTTTTTGGTGTGCCACCTTGCAATTACAAGCTTACTTAGGTTTTCAAAGCTATAAGAAGAGGCTGGAAACAGTTTATTAACTTCCTTTTTGAAAGGATGCTTTTGACATTTAACATTAATTTGCATCATATTTATTTATGCTTTGTCTCCGGTTCTACCAGAATCTGAATGCCACCCAAAATTAAAACGTGTGGGTTTTTCTGCTCAATTTTTTTAAAGACTACATAATAGAATTGCTTTTCCGATGCTAAGAGTTGCTATGTCTTTCCTCAGTGGGAGCAGAGCGCCCTAAGTGATTAACAGATATTCAGGGATGCTGGCAGATGTGACTTTTCAGATGACGGTGCGGAGAATGAATTCTGATGCTTAGCTGTTCATCCCCCTGGATTGGGCTGCTAGAAGTCTTAACTTGATCAGGAAGATGTCAGTGTAGACAGCTTCAAGAGCAGAATAATATAGGATCCATGTTATCTGCAGCCAGAGGCTGAATGATCTTTCAGGGACTGAGTCTATGCTTCTTTGTACTTTCTTAAATAACGAATTGAATCTATTAAATGTGTTTGTTTGTTGCTATGGTAACTGCTATGTTGTAATCCTTCTGTTGTTGTAGTCACACTTTTTTTCCTCATCTTTATTGCAGGTCCTCATTTTGCAGCTGTGAATAGCAATAATGAGATTATTGTCACGGATTTCCATAATCATTCTGTCAAGGTATTCTAAGCATATCAGTTGTTGTTAATTTTTAACTGCTTTTATGGTGAAATCAGTCTAGAAGAAAACAACAGGACATAATACTTACATGTGGACCAAAGGGAGTTAACCTAAAAGAGTAGATTTTGCTTCTGCTTAAAGATATGAGTTTTAATTTGAACGGACATACAGATATTGGAGAGTCAGGAATTAAACAAAATATCGTGACAATAAGTTTCTTAATTTCAAACTTGTGTAAATGAAGATGCCCTGAGAATTAAATTTAAAAAGCAATTGCTTGAATTTAGAGGCAGAAGCTTCTGAAGCTTAATATTTGGTGGCAATTCAGCAGATTAAAATAAAATCACAAAGCCGGGCTCGGTGGCTCAGCCTGTAATCCTGCGCCTTTGGGAGGCTGAGGCGAGTGGATTGCCTGAGCCCGCGGGTTCGAGACCCGCCTGGGCAGTGAGACCTCATCTCTACAATAAATCAAAAAATCAGCCGGGTGTGGTAGCGCATGCCTGTAATTCCAGCTACTTGGAAGGCTGAGGCGGAAGGATCACCGGAGCCCAGCAGGTCGAGGCTGCGGTGGCCGGAAGCGGCCACTGCACTCCAGTCTGGGCGACAGAGTGAGACTCCAACTCGAAAAAATAAATAAATAAATAAATAAATAAGAAAATAAAATCACTTTTTTAATTCTCTGTATCATAAGGCCTTTAGAACAATTAGAACTCAGCTCCAACAACAGATTGAGGGGGCAGGGTGGGAATAACCCTAGCAAACATTCATGTTGTCTGTTTTATACCTTTCAGAATGTTTTCACACATTTGGTAATATTTAGAAACAATGACCTTCTCTAATAATATAGTATGTCTTTCTTACTAAGTATTGGGGGAGAAAGATCTGAACTTTATTGTGAAAAGTCAGGAAATAATAAATTGGTTCAAAACACATTGCTCATTTGCTGAAATGGTGAGAAAATATTTTAGTACCATTCTAGAACAGGCTTCTCAAAATGCATTGTACATTCCATTTGGAGGTATGCCCGGTGGTCATGGGCAGTGCACTGGCAGACATTTTTATTTTAAGGACCAGGTATTTATTTTTAGGGCTACCTTCTGTTTACATCAAGTAATGCTTTTTTACACTTATAGAAGTGTTAAAGTTCTCCTTGTATAGTTGGGCGCGGTGGCTCACGCCTATAATCCCAGCACTTTGGGAGGCTGATATGAGAGGATGGCCTGAGGCCACGGGTTTGAGACCAGCCTGGGCAACTTGGTGAGACCTCATCTCTACAATAAATAAAAAATTGAGCCAGGCATGGTGGTACGAGCCTGTAGTTCCAGCTACTTGGAAGACTGAGCCAGAAGGATCACCTGAGCCCAGCAGGTTGAGGCTGCAGTGGCCGTGAGCATGCCACTGTACTCCAGCCTGGGTAATGGAGTGAGACTCCAACTAAAAAAAAAAATATATATATATATATTCCTTATAAAAACATTCATTTAAAATCCAAAAAGTAAGTCATTTTAATGGAAAAATAATGAGAGAGCATAGGATGATATGCCAGTGACTGACATTTGCACTTAGGGACAACCACTGAGCAACCAAAATTAAGAAAGATTTAGTGCTGACGACTGGAACAGCTAAATGAGGGACAGTACTTAAAATATCCAAAGGTGCTGTCTCTTCAGTGTTCTTCACGGCTTTGTTTCCCCACCTGGTCCTGGATGATCGTCTCCAACCTAAGCAAATGAAAAGGCCTTGCACCTTTTTGATGGGTGCAAGGAGTAGAGCACAGTGGGCCATGGGAATGAGGGCAGGATGAGGGAAAAGGGTGCCCACTGTTGCTTTTTTCTGAAACTGCCCTCTGCCATACTGTCTAGCCTGGTAATAGCGGTACCCCCCCCACGCACACACACAACCCCAGTGTGCGTGAGTTCATTCCCTGAAGACATTACTTTGTGAGGGGGTGTCTTGGTAAAAGAAATAGGACAGCAGGAAAGCTGATCCCCGTGGAGGGAAGAAGATGGAGATAGAGACCAGAGAGGCAGCAGGACCTGGACTTGGGGCTGTCCTTCCAGGGAGCTGCAGTCCGGAGTAAAAGGATCACAAGCTGTTCTCAGACTTCCTGCCCTCTCTCACTCTATAGAGGAATCTCTCTTCCCTATGGGGCATGCAGCAAGTGAAAACCCACACAGACCCTAACTGTGCCAAGGCCTGCAAATACATGGCGTGGATTCTGCCCGCCCCCCACTGGAAGACAGTGGTAATTAATCGAGTTGCTCTTTTCTACCAAGCATAACTGCGTCCTCAGGGCCCTTCCTGTCCAGTGCAGGCAGCCTGTAGGAGTCAAGTGACATTGGTATATGGGACAGCTCCTGCTTACCAGCCCTGGCTGACACTGTAGAAAGCATTAAAAAATGTGTAAGTAGCTGAAATGCATCATTAAAACTATCAGGGAAAACTAAATGCAGGTGGTATTTGACATGAACAGAATTTTGACATCAGGAAAGAATAATCATCTAGGATATATATATATATATATATATATAACTTTTATCTCAAGAATGATAAATTTCTCCTATTTTCTATTTTTCCCACCTAAAATGACATTTAATTACTTAAACATTATTCAGATAAAAGCATATTCAGAGGCAGAAACATAAACGGAAATATTTTTTACAGCTTTGCTTTTTACAGTATAGTCTTTAAAGCAAGTTTTATATATATATATAAATATATATATAAAACTTGATTGCTACTGCCATATAATTTTTTTGAATACTTGAGCTGTTGTTTCTCATATAATGCGGGGTAGTTAGCAGTAATTCTGGATTCAGGTCACCTCTCTATTGCATTAAAAAGTTAGCTATTTCAGTTACATTTTTATATATTAAATAACCAGATATTGATTACTGAGATATTTATGTATTTGACATGTATTTATATAAGGTATTTTAGGGTAATATTTTGCTTAAAGAAAACCTAGATTGAAGTTTTTGTGACGAATTCTTATAATTGATAGCTAATCTCTTTTATTTTGTTGTTTTTTGTTTTGTTTTGTTTTGTTTTGTTTTTTGAGTTGGAGTCTCACTCTGTCGCCCAGACTGGAGTGCAGTGGCATACTCCCGGCCACCGCAGCCTCAACCTGCTGGGCTCCGGCGATCCTTCCGCCTCAGCCTTCCAAGTAGCCGGAACTACAGGCACGCGCTGCCATGTCCAGCTAATTTTTGATTTATTGTAGAGATGAGGTCTCACCAAGTTGCCCGGGTGGGTCCTGAACCCACGAGCTTGGGCCTCTCAAAGTGCTGGGATTACAGGCAGAGCCACCGAGCCCGGCCTGATAGCTAATCTCCAACTATGTTGAACAAATGAATTTTTTTAAAAAGAGGCAAACTTGTAGTAACTTTCATTTTATATTTTTTCTGAAGTGACAATAAAACCAATTTTACTACTGGAGCTCATTTCAGAAGTACTTCTGGGTTATTTGTATGACTAGCTCATTTTGTGAAATAATAAAATACATAAAAATAGCAAGACTCAGTAACTTGTACAAATAAAGCATTTCTGAGGATAGAGACATCCTCATCATTACTTCATATCACATTTTTAAAGGGTTTACAGGTTTTGAAGTTGTAAGTGAATAGAACTCAATATTGGTATCCTGGATCGTGTAGTAGTAGTAGTAGTATTCTATCTACAATAGTAAATGTAATAATAAGCTAATTATAGCAATAAATTTTAAAATTTTCTTTTCAGAAAAGAGAGGGGCAATGTCTTTTGTTCCTTCAGATATCTTTACTGCCAGAATAACAAAGCAAAACAAGTTTCTGTAACTAGTATTAGGAAACATTTGTTTCAGTATTCAAATGAGTATGCACACACATTCTAAATTTGGTCTTTTTGAAATTATAAGTCAGTTCAGTTGAGCAGTGTGCAAAGATTTGGGACTTCTTGTCTACTGTGTTATAGTAGCAACAATAAATGTGTAAAAAAACAACACAAAAAGTTAGCTATAGGTCAGTGCTAACAGGTAGTCTAGTAAGTTCTTAAGCTGTCTGCAGAATTGATTCTCTTTTCATCACAAAACAAGTAAGATAAGATTTGGCGTTCTCCATTATTCTGAAATGAAGCAGAAGCACTTGAGCCATTCGGATTATGCCAAGGAAAAACGTACTCACTCTGAGAGATAAACAAAAAAATTATTTGTAAGACTTAAGGGAAAGACCAGAGAATGGTGAATTGTGTCCAGCATAAATATAACTCCTATTAGTTTTTAAAACTAGAATGTTTTATGTAAAATAGGACAAAAAGGGTCAGAAAAAAATTTTTTTAATATGGTGTCCTAGTAAAAGCTGGTTATTCTTGTGTGTGTCCTTTCTAAAGAACCAGAGGTAGCCTGCTTGCTTGGCAAATATGTAGTTAATTTAGGGGAGTGGTCATGGCTCTTTTATCTTCTTTATCTTAAAGTGAGTTTAGCCTTTTGAGATGCAAGTGTCCTACTTTCCCAATGTACTTAATGTAAAGCCATAGTCATTTTCATCTTTCATGGTCAGAGATGGCAATGGGAAACTCTAAAAGTTGTTGAGATCATCCTCAAATTAGATCTGTGCTCAAATATGGTGAACTTTTTCAGCTCTACAGATGAGGAACCCTTACTCCCAAGGTGCCTTGTGTATAATACTTTTTTTATTTGTTAATGAATATTTCTATGCATCTCAGTGTCATGATAATAGAAGTTTAAAATAATGTCCTGGAGACATTTCAAAACCATTAGGTATCATCTGAATCATCAAGACAAGATACGATAGTGTCATTAAACACATTAAAATGTAATTTATCTTAAAATCAATCATCTGTATTTGATACATATTTAGTAACACTCAGTAAGAAGTGTTTCATTCACAACAGCACCCCACTGCTTGATCATATCAGCTATTAGAGAATTTGCTTAAGAGTTCTATTGACCCTGTACTTCCAACAGCTTTCCTTCTCAGAAGGGTCTGTTCATTAGGGACCTAGAATCATACAAACTCTTTATTTTAACAAAAATATCTTCTGAGGTAAATACAAGAGCCCTTTTCGTCTCACATGCTGACACGACACAGGTGTTCACAAACGTACGAGTTTCTTCTGTTATAAATATGAAGTCCAGCCTACTCTTTCTTGTTATGTTGATAATGTGGCAATAAATCCTGAGCATCTGGCATAACAAAACTCTTACTCTCTGATCTAACTTTGAATGATCATCCTTGCTGATAGAATTATTATACAGTACTAATTTTTGAAATTTGACTATTTATTTAAAGACAGAAAGAGTAATATTGTTGAAAAGTGTAACTCTTCTTATTCATACTGCCATATATTTGTATAGTATTTTATAATTTATAATAAAAACATTTTTCACACAAATATTTAATTGAATATGAGCCAGAAAAAAAGAAGTGGTTATTTAGCAAATTATAAATCAGATTTATACAGTAAATTAGGGAACCACAAATAATATATGCTCTAGGTTTCTTTTTTTAGAATGTCTTAAATCCTGGGTCTTCTTATGTATAATCTGCTCAAATAGATATTTTTAAAATCCGTAATGTTAGGGCACATATATAATGAACATTTATATACCTAAACCTGAATTGTACCCCACATCTTTAAAATTAAGAATTTTTTAAAAATGTGTAATGTCAATTCAACTATTTTAATTTAAAATAAAATACTTAAAAATATTTCACACAGGTGTTTAATCAGGAAGGAGAATTCATGTTGAAGTTTGGCTCAAATGGAGAAGGAAACGGGCAGTTTAATGCTCCAACAGGTGTAGCTGTGGATGCAAATGGAAACATCATTGTGGCCGACTGGGGAAACAGCAGGATCCAGGTAGATGGAAATGCTAGTGTCTACGAGTGGTCGGTATTTGTTAAAAGTGAATACTTGGCTATCCTCCAATCTAAAATGTTTTCCATTCTCCATTGGTTGGGACATAAGACCATAGGTAATCTCACCAGAAGGACCAAACTAAGCAAGATGGAGTAGAAAAAAGGCAACATGTTACCAGAGTGAGACACACTAAATCAGAGAGTTTTAAAACATGGATCAATCTCGCAGGCCCCAAAGGGTTTGAGGATAGAATTTAAGAGGACCCATTGATCAAAAACATTATATGATTATTTTTATTGACCTCTAGCTGAAAATTATTTCCTTTAAGTATAAATATAAGTAACAGTCATTTCTCTTAAGTATGAATATAAATAAACAATCAATTTTAGTAACACCTGTGACAGAAATTTGACTGGAGAGAGGGCTAGACACTTAAGGAAAATTTGATCAATTCCTCTCACTTTGTTCTTTTTTTCCCCCAACGTTGTTTTAGCTATTCTACTTCCTTGCCTTACCATATAAATTTAAAAATAATCTTGTCTCTGCTTCCAAAAAATCCTTCTGAGATTTTGTGTTAAACCTGTATATCAGTCCAAAGATATCTTTGTTGAGTCTTACAATCCATGTACACTGTCATCTCTCCATTTATTTAGCTCTTTGATTTCTTTCACCAGCATTTATTTTATAGTTTTCAGTATACAGATACTGGACATGTTTTGTTATTACACCTAAATATGTTATTTTTTTCAATGATTATAAATGGTATTATATTTTTTATTTTCATTTCATGTGTTCATTGCTAGTATAAAAATACAATTGATTTTTGTATGTTAATCTTGTATTCTGCAGTCATGCTGAACTCAATTACTAGTTTTAGGAAAGTTTTTTGAGCATCTTTGAGATTTTCTATGTGAATTTATTGTGTTATCTGCAAATAGGGAGAGCTTTTAATTTCTTCCTTTCCAGTTGAAAAGCTTTCTATTCCCTTTCTACCTTTTGTGCTGACTAGAACTTCTAGGACTATGTTAGCTATTCTACTTACTTGCCTTATCATATACATTTTAAAATAATCTTGTCTCTGCTGGAATTTTGTGTTAAACCTGTACATCAATCGGAAGAACTTGGTGAGACCTTATCTCTATAATAAATCAAAAATTAGCCAGGCATGGTGGTGCACGCCTGTAGTTCCAGCTGCTTGGGAGGCTGAGATGTAAGGATCACCTGAGCCCAGCAGGTCGAGGCCATGAGCATGCCACTGTACTCCAACCTGGGTGACACAGTGAGATGCCTACTCAAAAAAAAAAAAAAAAATTAGCCAGGTGTGGTGGTGCATGCCTGTAGTCCCAGCTACTCGGGAGACTGAAACAGAAGGATCAAGACTGCAAGGAGCTGTGATTGTGCCACTGCACTCCAGCCTGGGTGACAGAGTGAGACCCTGACTCAAAAAATAGTAATGATAAGGAACAGACTAATGATACAGTCAACAACTCAAGGGTATTAGGCTGAGTGAAAAAAGTCACTTTCAAAAGGTCACATACTATATGGTTTTGTTTATGTAATATTCTCAAAATGACTAAATTGTAGAGAAGGAAAATAGGTTTGTGGGTTAGTGATTGGCAGGGTTAGAGATGGTGGGGGAGGAGAGTGGATGTGACTAAATTGGTAGCATCAGGGAGATCCTTCTGTTGATGGACTAGCTCTATATGTTGACTGAGTAGTAGCATGACATACAACTGTACATACACACCCCAAAGTTAGTCAGTTGGGTTTTGGGTGGTACTGTAATTATAGATGATGTAACTATTGGGGAACACTGGATTAAGGGTACACAGGACCTCGCTGCTATCTTGACAACTTCCTATCGACCTACAATTCTTTCAAAATAAAAAGTTAACAAAAAGAAATAACAGAGCAGAATCTGACAGACCAAAAGAAGACTATTTTATATCCAAATGTGTATTCAGTCCTCTGCATCCCTGTGTTCTACATCTGCAATTCAGTTAACCGTGGATCACAAGTATTACAAAATAACACAAGGTCTGACAATTAAGTTAGTGAACTCACCCTAGAAAAAGTGCTCCACATCTCATTGCTGAATATCACTATGGTCACCTTTGAATTACTCCCCCTTGGGAAGCTATGCACTGATGCCAGTGCCAGTCCACCTGTCAAAGCAATTTTTTCTGGAGTGGCCACCAGAGTTGTCATCATATTACCCTTGATGTCCTGAATGTCATCAGAATGTCTTCCTTTCAATATTTCCACTATCTTCAGGTAAAGAAAAAATTCGTTGTGGGGTGCAGATCAGGTGAGTAGGGAGGATGTTCCAATACAGTTATTTGTTTGCTAGCTAAAAACTCCCTCACAGACAGTGCTGTGTGAGCTGGTGCATTGTCATGATGCAAGAGCTCCTTCAGGAGCATTTTTGTATATAACTTTCTCATGCCAGGATTTTCAGTTAATTTCTGAACTGTTTCTCTATCAATGTTTATTTGGTCTGCTATACTCTCACAGTCAGCTGAACAGTTTTGATGCACAATTCGACAAATGTTAGCAATGTTTTAATCAGTTTTGCTTGTTCCTGGCCGTCCTGACCTCTCTTCATCAGTGATGCTTTCTCTCCCCTCAGAAAAACATTTACTCCATTTGTACACTGTCGTTTCTTCATGGCATTATCCCCATAAACTTGGACGAACATGTCCCTGATTCCACTTCCACTTTCGCCACACTTAACAAGAAATGTAATGTTTGTTCTTTGCTCTAATTCAGACTCTGACATTCTCGTGATGGCACACAAAAACATCCAACAACAATAATGAACGCCTCTCAGCAAGACATCGCCACACATTGACACAAACACAGCTGTGAGACACTGATATACCATGGTTATGAAACCTTACCAAGTTGTTTGTACAGTGCTGCCAATGTAAGCATATGGCGGCAAGTTATTGAACTTAATTTTCAGAACTTGTAATAATACAACAATAAAACAATTTTTAAAATAGTACCTTATAACCACTATTTCCATAGCATTTACATTGAGTATTTTAATTAATCTAAAGATGAATTAAAGTATTCAGAAGGGTATGCGGAGGGTATATTTAAATACTAGTCCATTTTGCATGAGAGACTTAAGCATTCAAGGATTTTGGTATCCATGGGAGGTCCTGGAACCATTTCCTCAGGATACCAAGGGATGACTGTACATGTTGACCCACTGATCTCCTACAACTCACTCTTGTCTGAAAAGGAAAAAATAGTTTCTGCTGCCTCATAGCATATTTTTCCATGGTCTAGTTGCAGATTTTTTCCCCTGATGATTGAGGAGAAAAGGAGATGTGAAAGCTTAGCGTGAAAAATACAGGTCATTCATTTTTTGAAGCACCATCAGGGCCATTGCCACACAATATTTGTTATAACCAATGCAGGAATATGAGTGAGATCTGGCAGCCAGTGGCATTTTGTACTCTAGTGACTGGGCTTAGAGGGAGAGAGGAGGATTATAGCTAGGATAGCGACCTAAACAAACTGAGAGGGTTACTTATATGCTTTTATATTTAAAAACTAGCATCAAGGGTTTTCTGACTCAAATTCTGCATATTACCGTAACTTCTATAACATTCTGACTTTCTCTTTCTTTACAGGTTTTTGATGGGAGTGGCTCGTTTTTGTCCTATATTAACACATCTGCTGACCCACTCTACGGCCCCCAAGGCCTGGCCCTAACTTCAGATGGCCATGTTGTGGTTGCAGACTCTGGAAATCACTGTTTCAAGGTCTATCGATACTTACAGTAATGGGCAGCTGGACACCCCCTTATTAGAGGTCTTGCACTGTAAACTGGAATGGATTGCTCAACGCGGGACCAGATTATGACTAGACTTTTTATGCCAGAAGGAATCATTGATGAACTTTCCAAGGTTATTTCTGAATGTAACAATTTCCTTAAAAACTGCTTATCCAATTTCCATAATTCACATTTAGGGTTTTAAAAAACCCTCTTCTACTGAATCTATAAAAACTGCAAAATTTTACATTCGTGAACTATGGCTGAAAGGACAGGACTTATGTAGTTAAACTAATCTTGCAAATCAAACACTTAAAAAAATGGAATACGTAAGGTATTTGTTAATCCTATAAGTGGTAGCTTTTGCGCAGAGCTTCCAAAAACAAAACAAAACAAAATCTGTTGTAGTTATATACTTTGTTGAACCTAGGTCACAAGACCCAGGGGATCTTCTAACCTCACTTTTACAGTAGATGTTACTCTTGTGACATATTTTTGGTTATCAACAACTGCATATAAATTACTTTAGAAGAAGTAAGGCTGTCTTGCAAAATCCGAGCTCTGATTAGCAGGCCTGTTGAGTTCAGCACTTAAGAACCAATACAAATTTTCCAACCCTTCTTGGTTAGACAAAGATCCTTTTTTGTGTGTTCCTTTTACCTCCTCTCTCCTGCTCACCTAGTATCAAAAAACAAGTACATCTTCAGGGAAACCTGAAATTCCTAAGGCTTTGAAAAGCATATTACAAAAGGAATGCTACCTTTTGGTAAACAAACTGCCCCTTTGACTCCAGGTTAATGCACTGGAATGTAATCAAGAAAACGTCAGTCATGTTGTATGTGCCGTGTTTTCACACACATCTCTCCTCTTCCACTTCATGAAAGTGAAAGCTTTACCTCCTGCAAAATGTCAGCACATGTAGTAGGACACCAGTATCCTAGGACAGAGAGCCATAAGTAGCCCTTTGGAGGACTGATGGTGTCAACCAAAGGCATGTGATTGATTAATGATTTCCCCGTAGAAAGCAAGTGTTACCAAAGTTGTGTTATCTCGAAAGCATTCCAGGTAAGGGCATGTTATGGTTATTTATCATTGTTTAATGACTAGTAGAGGTGTCAAGGGACTATGTATACATGATTAGGGTAAGATAGAGTGTATTATATATATATATATATAAATATATATATAGCTGAGTCTTTGGTGTATTGAAATAGGCAGCACTCCAGAAGACAGAAGCTTCGTCCAGCCATTCTTCAGCACATTCCTCTACCAAGCAGTTTAAAGCCGTCCTCATGGAGCAAGCCCTAAAGCAGATTTCATTTTTGCCATTTTCCAGGAATGATGGTGGTGACTGACTTTTAGTCAGAAAATGGCCTTCTGTACTTCCAAAAAAAAAAAAAAAACAGGTCAAAAGAAAAGTTGAACTTGAGTTACATTTAACTTAAACTAAATATTAATGCATTTTAAGAAATGTGAAGTACAATGTAGTTAATCAATCATGAGTACTGTAAAGTAGGATGTGGTCTGTTTCCACAGTTTAATTTTCTACTCAGTTCTACCAAATAGGATGTCATGTCTGGCATTTTCGATAGTGACTTTGGGATCTTCTTCACTGGAAGCACCTTAGAATTATAAGAAAACATTTCCCATATGTTTGATTATATGAATGTGATGTTTATTGCTTATTAATTTGTAATTCAGTCATTCTTTATATAGGGCTTTTTAAAACGTAGAAGGGAAATCTAGCCACTTCCAATTGTCTATTAAATTTATTATGCCCAAATCAATCTCTGAAAAAAAGGTTTTTCAAAAAGATTTTCATTTAGGTTTAGTATTTTTTTAGCAGGGTAGTGTTTTAAAAATATTTGAGTCTGTCTGTGATAAAGTTATAAACTTCAATAACTTTTTAGACTGTTAAATGATACTTTCTTAACATCACTGAATGACATCTTTGAATTTAAACATTCATATTTCTGAGTATCTGCTAGGTGCCACATACTCTTCTAGGCACTGGGAATATAGACATGGACAAAACAGACAAAAATCCCTGCCCCTTGGAGCTTAGGGAGGGAATTTCAGTTTACCGTTTACTAACATCCTGCATAAAAGATAGACTAGACTCTTCATAGTCCCTGGATTTTTAAAAGACAACTTTTTAAAAGTGGTTAATTGTAATTTCCTATTTTCACAAGTAAAAATGGCTTCCTATTTAGACTCTGTCACAGGCTGTAGATCTTAAAACTGGATGACTTAAAGAGGTTTTTATTTCGCACAACATTTAAATCATATTTGTTAACTTAGAAATTAACATATAATCTAACCTGCCATAGTATCATATCGTATATCAGGCTAGATATCTCAATAGGAGACTGAATACAAAGCTAATTTTTTAACATATTGGCACATACTGGAGTTGATTCCGACCTGTTCCACTATCGGCTACTAAAACACATGCTATGGGCCCTCCAGGAAACACTGTTTTTCTCAAAAAATATGTTAAAGTATAGATAACATTTCACACTGGGATACTTCTGTCCATTTACTGTTTTTCTTGGTGAGCATATTTTGGGGGGAACGTGCTGCTGATAAGCTACAGATAAGATTTAAGTGAAATTTTGTCTCATTCTATGGAAAATGGTTTCTGGTAAACTGAGAAGGATATTAAAATAAGTGACTTTTTTCCTGGGCTACCATTATCGTTTGATTTCTCTTTAAGTGTATAGAATCTGTCATACATTCATGATAAGTAGCACTGAAAAATGACCCATTCAAATTTCCCCTGGGCACTTACGGCAACACATTGCCAGTTAGGATTTCAAGGTCAGTGATGACACATTCCCTCCCAATATAGACCCCCCCTTTGCTGGACATGGGGTGGGGCACAGAGTCACTTGACCAGAGTCCAGAAACACATGAATGCAAGGCCTTTATGACTGTTTGCCGTGTTTTAATGGAACTTAGTATTTTGATGAAACTTGAGTCTCCAGAACTAATCAAGTCCCCAAGTTTCCTTCTTTTAATTTACTCTGACTAGATTTGAGGCAAACGGATACTCCGGATCCATGCAACTAGAACACACTTGCTTCCACTACTAAATATACAGGGTATGTCCCCACAAGCAGTTAACTGGAATAGCAGTACACTAGCAAGTGGGTCCTCAACACTGCAGGGTTAACATGAATGCTTTGGTAATACCTCCTGAGCTAATTGGAACAAACAGCAAACATCAGGTAATCTGTGGATAACTTCAAATGGGAAAAATCTTTTCATACATTTGGATTCTGTAGTATCCTCTCTATCCACCACCTTCTGAAAAGAGAGGAGTGTTTTTAGTTTGATAATTTAAAAACAAGACGTTGTCAGGTAGGAGAAAATGGAAGGCATTTGATGCAAATGTTATCGAATAATTTTGCTTGAAACCGAAAGTCATAATACTGTTGCTTTCTATAAATGTTGCAGGGTTTAAAACTTTACAATTATTTTTAATATTTTTGATAACTAGGAATCTAGTATTGCCATAAAGGAAACTAAGTGCCCATTAAAGATTTGTTTGGTATAAATTAATAATTTTTTGGTTTTGTTTTAAATGACAGTAAGCTACAGATCATGATGCTATCTTAAAAACTTTCTAAAGATGAATTGTGTGGCAGTGATTGTGTGGTCTGTTTGTGAGGAATGTATGAAAGCTATTAATTAATATCCTAGGGTAGAATACTAAATTGGCTATGTTGTTACAATGAATGTACAGCACTTCCATTAACTTTTGAAAGCAACACAGCCTTAAACTCAATGCTTTTGCTTTATGACATGGGAATGTTCTGTCATCAATGGAGTGTATTCTTGTAATAGAATTCTTTATATCATTCTTAGTTCTATATCTTTCAATCCTGTGTATAAGTAGAAAGAGATTTTTTTTGCTTTTTCTTTGTAGATTTTGTACATTCCATATTTATAGGTCTATTTCATACGTTTTGTGTATAGAACACTAAGTCTTACGCTCTCTGACATTGGTACTGATATTTTCTTGTCATTGTTATTTTATGAATCAATATGTTGACTGCCTATTTAAGGAAAAGAATGAACGCTGTGCATCAAAGTGTTTGTATGTTCGTAGCTACATACGTACCACAGTATTTTGGATGCTTTAGTCTACAATAAAACTTTAAATTAATTCTGTCTTGAAACAGGAGAAACAAGCTTCATGTGTATCTCTTTACCATGCACAAAATCTCAAATCATTATAATAAAGCTTGTTTCTCCATTTCCAGGGTGAATGTTTGTTTATTTAACATTGTTCTCTAAGTGAAGAAAAATGAAGAATATTCTAGAATATGTGGAAGATAGCAATATTGCAACCAGACTGTTTATACTAGTGAGAAAAAGCTTAGTAAAATTTTTGTTGGTTATGATGCTGATAATCTGTTACTATTTAGGATGTGTCTTAAACAGGAATCTGGAAAATCCTGTTCCATATGCATTCAAAAAGTTATAAAAATAGGTCAAAATTACTATCCTTATAATCCTTAAAGAATCACAAGATAAAACCTTCTGGCAGTTGTGGAAGACACATTTCTAGGGGATGAAGGACTAAAAAAGGGACCTTACTACGAACATTACCTTCAAGGCCAAACATTTCATTACATGGGGTTCATTCCAGTAAAAAATATATATATCAAGCTAATGGCCACACATTTCAAGGAGTCCTCAAACCATCTGAAGAACATGTCTGGACAGGCCTGGGAGTTCAGTCTCTGGAGGAGGCCAATGGTAAATATGCCTATATCACATCTTTTCCAAGAAGTTAGTTTCCATGGTCTTGCTCAAATTGGAAAAAAAAAAAACATTTCTTAAACAATTTCTATTTGTAATGTCAAAATTGTCATTTTGAAGTTTCTTATCCACAGGTCAGTATCTTTCCCACAGTCATGAGAGTAGGGTCTAGACTTGGTACGTGTTCTTTTTTTTCTCCTATAAAGAATCTCATCTTTCTTTGTTGATTGTAAACATGTCATTGGCTTGTTTTGCATGTTTACATGCTTGCATACGCCTTTTTCCTGATTTTATTTATATAAAGAGAGAGAGAAGAAGGGGTGCTTGTAAACCATTAAGTATTTTATAATGGAATAAACACTAAAATTTATCTTAATTCAAGATTGAGCTTTATCCTTTTTTTTTTTTTTTTTTTGAGTTGGAGTTTCACTCCATCGCCCAGACTGGAGTGCAGTGGCCGCTCCCGGCCACCGCAGCCACTACCCACTGGGCTCTGGCGATACTTCCGCCTCAGCCTTCCGAGTAGCCGGAACTACAGGCGTGCGCTACCGTGCCCGGCTAATTTTTTATTTATTGTAGAGATGAGATCTTGCCAAGTTGCCCGGGCGGGTCTCAAACCTGCGGGCTCAGGCAATCCACTCACCTCGGCCTCCCAAGGTGCGGGATTATAGGCTGAGCCACCGAGCCCAGCGAGTATCCTTTTGAACAATGAAGGAACACAATAAAAATGTGTTTAGTTTTCTTGAGGGTTAAAAAAAAGTCTAGAATAGATTGAAACTCTGAAAGAGATGATTTAAATTGGCCTTGGAAGAAGAGATGAAACAACAGAAATTAAGAAAATACCAGTTGTGACCCTGCTGACTAGCAACTGTGAATATTAACCTCATTGAATCCTACTTCTGTTGTTCACTTATTCTTCCTTTTATCCAAGCCTACCACCAAGGGCTCTTTGGAGGTTTTCAGAATCAGAGAGGGGGAAGGCACTCCATAAGCCACTTGCCCCATGTTTTGGTTCAGCATGTCTCAGATTGTCCCTCAGGAACACATTTCACACCAAGCCACATGTATCCCTTTCCAGAGCAGCAATGGAGTTCAATTTTGCATAAGAAGACAGGAAGAGCATGTCAACGTTTGATGCTTTTCCCATCCTCCTGTCTTTTGTTGCTATGGTAACTGAATGTCTAAGCACCTGTGGTCCACCAGCCTTTCCGCAGCATGGAATGAAAAATAGGGCACAGTGGCTCACACATATAATCTCAGACTTTGGAAGACCCAGGCAGGAGGATCACTTGAGGCCAAGAGTTTGAGATGAGCCTGGATGACGGTGAGACCCCATCTCTTCACCTGTACCCCCAAGGAGCTTACAGCCTGGTTGATAAAACCACAAATCATGGTACCACAAACCATCTAAAGATCTTTTTGTCTTCCAGGAATCAGGTTTGATGTCCTATTGAGAATGATGCCCTGCATAAATGACACAGTAACATTGTCATTTCTAACTCAGGAGCTGTGTTGTGACTAACAAGTTGATAATGTTGACCATTTCTTTCTTGAAATTGTTGAATTACATAAGCAGGAAGCCATCGGCCTCCATGCCATGACTCCCAACATAAGGAGCTGCAAGAAAGCGCAACCTAACTAGTGCACAAAAAAATGGAAATCTAACTTGAAGTATACTTGCTGATTCTCAGTCAATCACAAGCAGCCGAGCTTCAGCCAATCAACTGATTAGACCATAGCCAAATTAGTCAAACATGGAGCTGTAACCAATCAAGCTGCTTCTGTACTTCGCTTCCCTGGTCTGTTTATAAATACTTCCTGCACAAGTTGCAGAGTGGAGCTTTCTGAACGTCTTTTGGGTCTGAGGGCTGCCCAATTGTTCTTTGCTCAGTTATGTTAAATTTAATCTGAAGTTTTTCTTTTAAAGTGTTCTCCTCTCATTGTTTTGCTTTCCCCTACTTCTTTTCCTACCTTGTAGACTTTACCTTCTGTCTCTTTGAAATTTGTTTTTCTACTTCCTTAATAAGCGTCTGTAGAACGTGCTTTTCAGAATCTCAAGGAAGGGCCGTGAGAAGGTTATCTGCAGTTTATGATGTTTATACTGAAAAGACAAAGAAATCAGAGGCAGTAGGAATGCATCTCCTTGCCTTGGTGGTGGTTATTCTGAGGTTATATCAAGACTGGGTGCACATGCAGAATCTCAGAGAACTGTAATAGCTGCTCAGTGACATTTGAGAGACAGATGCAGCTCAAATGACCATCCCTCTCTATGTGCATTTAGCACTCATTCTTCTCAAGAGAAGATCTGATTAGGTCAGTTTTCCACTGTCCCAGGGCATGATTTTGCATCATGTCGCCTCAGAGTCAGGGGTTTGCTTCAAGTTTATCCTAAACATGTGCCTTTGGCTTGAGCACCTACTCCTGGTCCAGTGAGGCAGGCATGGCTCAACCCGCAAAGTGCTCATTTGATAGGGATGGCAAGAACCACAACTCTAGGCTGAGGGTTAGAGTTGGGGTTAGGCTGGGGGTTTAATGACACAGAAAGGGGCCAAGGGCCTGAAAGTCATCGTGGCTTCATAGCATTCTCTTCCATGAAGTTCTGTTTTCAGGGTCTCACCTCTCCCAGGGTTTTCTCCTTCTACAACTCTCTGATTCTCCTGGGCAAAGAAAACTAGGTTTGTAAAGAGTTTTACATGCCCAAACTGAGAAGTGTGTTTTCTACTTGAAGGCAGAAACTTGAGAGCAAGTACAACCCAGTAACGCAGGGAAGGTAATCTCCCCGGGGCAATACTCAGCCAAGGAGGTTTGAGAGAGATGGATAAATGTCTCAGCCTCCTGTTCTTCAGACTGATAGTTCTGGAAGTTGTTCTAACAAAGCTTGGAAGCTTCTTAGAAGTTTTGATAAAGTTGAGCTGCCTTTATTTAGCAGTGACTTCAATCACACATCTTTAGTGGCTTCTTCCCTCCCTGTCTCAACCTTGACGCTTCCTCACTCTTCCTGAGATTGTCTCTCAAATAAATTATCAGCACAACTTTGTGCCAGGCTTTGTTTTTGGTGAACCCAAACAAAATCAGTCAGGGGATTCTGGGCTCTCATGTCCCTGGTCTAGGAGGCAAGTAGTGGGTAACAAGTGGGCATGTCCCTTAGCCCTGCAGACTTCTTGCCTATGGGGAAAGATATGGCTGGAGCAGGGCTAAGGTGGCCCCCATGAAGGGCATTACTGACTACAGTATAAACCCTTGAAGAATGTGTTATGTCTGGCTCACCTTCACAAACTGTGCAAGCGGTAGATACTCAAACTGAAAAGAATGAAAGTCATGTATAGTAAAGGCTTTTTAGGATACAAATTCGTTCAATAAACAAATGGCATTTGGTTACACTAAGATGCAAGATGGTTACAAGATCCAAATTCAGGATGAGGTCTCACTATGTTGCCCAGGCTGGTCCCAAACTCCTGGGCTCAAGCAATCCTGCCTCTGCCTTCAAAGTGTTGAGATTACTACAGGTGTGACTGGGCCCAGCCTTATTTATTTTTATACCTAATTGTACATATACTGCATCTGCTGCTAACAAAATTTCAGAACTTGATGTGTCTCAAGACATCTCAATGATGTATAAGGTTATTTAAGAATTTTTTTCAGTGAGAATATTGGTGGGAAAGCACTACTCAATGCAAATAACTAAGATTTTAGTAAATATCCTTCACTTTTCAACAGAAAATCCTATCTAATTTTCCCTAAATCAACAATGAGGCAGTGTTCTTGAATAGTTAATACATTTATTTAATACACATTTATTGAGTGTTTGTCACATGTCAGGCACTGGGATAGGCCTTGGTGATATCAAAATGTTGGTTTAGTCCCTGCCAGAGAAACAGGTTTGATATTTTAGTGATTAAGTCCAATAGACGATGACAAAAAATGAAAAAAGTGATCTAATAAAACTTTACAGAGAAAGTCACAGTACCACAGAGGAGACCTGGTCCGCCTGTGTCGTGGAAGTGGGGAGACTGAAAGAAGACTCCTGGGGGCAACACCTGAACCATCTAAAGGACAGGTGAGAGTTAGCTAGGCGAAGAATGCTATTCCTGACGGAGCAGAAGAAACATGACAGCCTGAGAGTCAGCTCAGGCAAGGCTTTCCACAAATGGCATCACCACATTTATGTATCACGGTGCAGTTACTTAATGTTTTTCTTTTTCTTTTTTTTGAGTCATGGTCTCATTCTGTTACCCAGGCTGTAGGACAGTGGCACACTCATGGCTCACCACAGCTTCCACTTCCTGGACTTCGGTGATCCTTCCACCTCAGCCTCCCCAGTAACCGGGACTACAGGTGCGCACCACCACACCTGGCTAATTTTTTTATTTTTGGTAGAGACGAGGTCTGTTGCGCAGGCTGGAATGTTTTTCTTAAATCTCCTTATTTTTTTCCCTGTTTTTCTTAAATTTCCTTATTTTTTTCCCTGGCATACCTACTTTAGTTATATCAACCAATGCATGAGACAACCAGAGTGTGACGTGCTAATTATATTTTTTCTAGTACATTTTAAAGCATCTATTAAATGATTATCCATTTACCATTTTAAGTTATCTCAGGTACCATCAAATGTACACAGTAATGCATCCAGGAAAAAATGAATTTATGGACCTCTATGCAATTCGGTGTACCCCTTGCTTTGCTTCTGTGAGAAGCAGCAGCGGCTATAAATTCTGATAGACGTTACTTTTGGAGCATCTATACCATTTATTATACTTTAAAATGGTTCAAAACACCATATAATAATTTTCAAAATAATTGGAGTCTCAGTTTTTAGCACTTTCAGGGGAAGGGCCCGAGCTTTTACTCTGAGTCCTCATCTATTGTCAAGTTGAGAGGTAGCATATTTGTGACCATTTTGATTTGTAATTAATTCCGTTGTTTACTTTTTTAAAAACCTATGAGAAAAACAAACTTACACACCAACGGATTTTTTAAAGTTGGAAAAGCAGTAGCTGGGGAGAAGATGAGGGATAACACGAGCAGACAGGAATCCAGTCCGCCCTAGACGGGACAAATCTGGAATGACGGAGGCAGCGTTTCCTTCCTCTGCAGCCAAATCTCCTCTAGTTTTAAAGCCAAATTCAGGCCAGCTTTCCGCGGCAAAGGGAAAACGCGAAGTCTTGAGCACACCCTCGCTCAAAACTTTAAAAAAAAAATCACATTCGACACGCAAGACAGAGGAGGCGGAGCGCGCCCCGCTCCGCCTAGCACGCCAAGGTCCGTCCCGCCCGCCCCAGGCCCCGCCCCGCACGTCCCAGACCCCGCCCCCGTACGCCCCAGACCCCGCCCCCGCACGCCCCAGACCCTGCTCCCGGCTCCGTCCTGACCCGGCCATCTTCTGGCGGGGCCGCCAGGGGTCGCTGCGCGCCGTGAGGGCGAGGGGCGACTCCTCCCCACCTCCTCCTCTCGCTGCTCCGCCCCCGGGCATCGTTGGCGCCAAAATCAAACCCGCCCTGACCCGCCCCGCCCCTCACGCCGCGCCCGCCCCGCCGACATGGTAAGAGCAGAACCTGCGGACCTGCGAGTCCTTCCTCCCCGGCGTCTGGGCTTCACGGCCCTCGGCGGCGCGGGGCGCGGGCCTGGCGTTGGCCGCCCAGCCGGGCTGAGGGAGCGGCGCCCGGCCTCGGCCTCCTCGGGGCGG